CTGGGAAAGATTGAGAGCAGGAGGAGAAGGGGATGACAGAGGAAGAGATTGTTGGATGGCATCACTGACTCAAAGGACATGAGTTTGAGTGAACTCCAGGAGAGAGTGAAGGACAGGGAAGCCTTGCATGCTGCAGTCCATGGCTTGCAAAGAGCGGCACACAACTTAGCAACTTAGCAATAACCCCATGAAAGAGATAGCATTACTCCTGATATACTCTTCCCATCCAGTTTTACACTGGCCTCCACTGGTCAATGCTTAGTTCCAGTTTCCTACTGGTGCCTGAGTCCCCATCATCTCTAAGGCAGCCAACAGGAAAAAGCCCTATTTATGCTTATTGGCATCACCTGTGTTGTCCCAAGCTTATTAGGTGGTGACAGGCAGAATAACAAAGCAGAAAGAGCAAGGGCTTTGCAACTAGACAAGTCTAGGCTTGAATCCTTTCTAACTGAGTGACCTTAGATGAGTTATTTAACCTCTCTGAGTCTCCAATTTCTTTATGTGTACAATGGGGATAATAATAGTATACTTCACAGGGGTGTTGTGAAGATGAGACAAGATAATATCTGATAAGCCCCTTGTTTAATATCTGCCATGGTGCTCCACATGTGATACCTTTTATTATAGATGTAGCTCAAGGCAGGTAACATTGCAGTAAAACATTTCTGGCAAACACCTTTGTGAAGACCTTCTCATTGTATTTTTAATTATCCTTAAATGATTAAACAATCACTCTAGTTAATATTTTCTAATTGCATTAAACTGGAGGTTGTGTCTAGGGCACGTGATAAGGGTCTTATTTATCATATTAGGGTTTATTTGTGTGCAAATTCAAGGACCCAAGATGAGGGATACCATTAATCAAGATTTTATGGCTGTGAGACATCATTATCTTTTACTATGCTGCACTCATAACTGACATGTTGTCACAACTGGGCATCTGATGAAACTGTTAAGGAACAAATCAACACTATGGAAGTGGTATTTACTGAAATAAAAAACAACCAGAAGAGCAGGCACAATGATCACATCAGTAAGAGACTGGGGTGGCGAAGGAGCTGGATAATAGAGACTCTTACACTGGACATGTGAACTATGTTCCAAAGGGACATAGTTAGGAACTCTGAAAGTGTTGTTAAAAGTCCAAAATGCAAACTTCATGTGTAAGTGTATGGCCAGCTTAGTGTGAATCGGCTTCAGGGTGATGCTCAGAAATAGGGATGCAGTGTGGAGTGTCTGAGGCAGATGACTGAGAATATGAGCTTATATGACATGGGAACTCTACTCAAATGAGTTAGGCCCTATGTGCTGTCTCCTGGGAAGGCCTTGCAAGCAAATGGTGCAATTGAAAAGGGTTACCAAGAAGATCAGTTAAAATGACTGAATACCAGAGAAATCCATCCCTGTTTTTTTTAAGCCGAGGACTGCAAGGCTGGGTGAAGCCAAGTGAGGTTTGGAGAATATGAAGGGAATATTGTGGAGCTAAGTGTTTGTCTTCTGTTTCTAAAGACAGCATACAAGAAAATGGGCCCTAATGGTAATATGAGAGAAACAGATTTGACAGCAAATGAAACTGCCTATGGCAAAAGTTGAGAGGTTGAAACATTCATTAAATGAAATTTAATGTATTTTCTGTATTTTCTGGCTGCACATAGAAAAACTAAACAGCAAATTCAGTGCCATGTTCTTTTGGGTTTCCAGTGAGTGTGATGGACAAAATGTCTCTTTTTCTCCTTCAAATTCTCTTTCTTTTCAAGATTTTCTAAGACTACTTTTGGTTTACTTTTATCCCAATGAATACTACTATTGAAAAATGGCAAACGTGCCATAAATGAATGCATTTCTTAAAAAAAAAAATTGGGTAAACCTGACATACCACAAAATGCATGCATTTCAGTAAGTTTTAGTATATGCAAGTGTTGTGCAACCATTACTGTCTAATTCCAGAACATTTTCATCACTGCAGAAGGAAACCTCACACCCATTAAGCAGTTACTACCCATACTCCTCTCCCTCAAACACCTCTATCTCTATGGATTTGTCTTAGGAATGTATTTCTTTTGGAATCTTACGAATCTGTATTTAATTTTACAACTAGAGGTAGAAGACTACTGAGTGTATCTGTTGTGTGTTGTGGGTATGAGAGGGAGAGAGAGTGAGAGGTGAGCATTCATGAGAAACTTTGCAAAGTAAAATCTTGTGAAATAGTACAACAAAATGGAAACATGGGAGGATTCTTATTTTTTAATTAGCTGTTCATAACTTAAATTAGATATCTGAAGGTAAATTCCTCAAGGGTCCAGTCAATTACAGGTTCAAGAAATGGCCAACAGCTCTTGAGATATGCCTGCAACATTGAGAAAGGTTCTTGAGTGGCAGTGTGGCTTTATCACTCCTACGTTAGGCTAAACAGTTTCACACCCGACAGCAGCTCTGTCCTGGATCCAAGCTCTTCCTGTAATTGCTGATGATAACCCTATTACTTTTCTTTAGAGCAGGGTTGCAGTGACCATTGCTTATTCCGCATTTATTTGTCCTGGTGAGCACATCAGATAGAGCAGAGGAAACTTAGGATGCCTGACGGGTAAGTTAAACACAACTTAAAATAATAAAACTTTTTTTGTAGCCATAACTACTTACCAATTTTAAATTAAAATACACATTTTATTCTGGTTGGAATTTTTTAAAAGTTAGGTAACCTGTTTAATTTAAAAACTTGGAGAATGAACTAGAAAACGTTTTATAGGGCATTTTTTGGTAAACTGATTTAAAACTTGCATGACTTCCTTCATTATGATTATATTGACAGGAAACTTGTGTTGTCTAAATTCTGGAAAAGATACATACAACTTGAAAGAAATCTTAATTTTCAACCAATCAAGTAATTCCTCAGAAGGAGGAATAAATAGCCTGTCGGGTCTTGTGACTTCAGCGGTGCTTTGTAATCTAGACTGTCAAGGCCAGGAGATTACTGTCATTTTGTATTTTGTGTGTATTTTGAGGAGTTTTATTCCAATTTCATTCTCAATGCCTTTCCATTTCATAAGCCCCAACTAATTATCTTAGCCATTTCCACTAATAAGGACTGGTTGTGGTTGTGGTGTTATGGATCTTGCTGTTTTCTTTCCAAATTTCTTATCCACATGCTTCACGGCAGTCTCCCACCGCTTCTTTTTGCCTCCATTCTCTCATTTTGACTTCTGAGGACTCCCTGATGACGATGGAAAACAGAGTCTCCACATCACATTGTGAAATGTGCATGACTTAGCTACTATTCCAACAAACATTTCTCAGACAGTGTGGGCCGGAAGTGATTTTTTACTTAACCAACCGAATCTCCTTTAAGCTACCTGGAAGTTGAGGGCAGCACACTTCTCTGGTGGCAAATGCAAATTAACGTAAAGCACTTGGGGGTCCTCATTGCTGAGAGACTCTGCGGTGAACCTCTGGTGCCTTGCTTGAGGACCTATCAACAAAATTCATCTCCTGGAAGAGACTGCCATAATGTGGAGGTGTTTGATTCCTCGGTTCCCTTCTTCAGCGTGTGCCTCATGTGAGGGTGCCTTGGTTTACTTCTCAAGGACGTGTGGGTACATTACCCTATTTTCCAACTTTAGAAGACAAACCAAAACCTCTCTAGGAGTGAAGAGAAAGGACTTGAACGTGTTGTGAAAGAAACGGGGGGAAAGAGGGCTTGAAAAGGATAAAGGCAGTTAACAGCAGTAGCTAAACTGTAAATCACCTATCTCTGACCTCCAGACCACATCCCAACGGAGTCCAGCTGCACCCCGCCCCTCCGACCTCTGGGGCTCCTGACTGAGAGTCTAGATACAGGGCACATATTCACTTGTCTCCTTTCACTACTGGGTGGCAGTCTGGCCTTTGCAGGGAGTGGATTCTGGCTGGAGTTTCAATGTGTAGAGTCCAGTGCCCAGGTTTTGGCGAGATTGAGACAGGTAAGTTTAACCTGGGGGTTTTAGGGGCTCCAGGGATTTTGGCAGAGAGGTGGTCGGATGGGGTGGAAAAGTCAAGGGAGGTTCAAGTCTGGTGTTCTTTAGAGTTTTTCACTAGCCCCTCCAGGAGGCCACCGAATGGCTTTATCTGGACAGGGACACAACTGGGATAACCGGTATTCCTGGTCACTGCCTGTCTCATCCTGGGCCGCTTGGAGGAGAGGTGAGGAATGGCCCTGTGGGTGCGGGCAGGGCTCAGACGGCGCCAAGGGAGAAGCAAGGTTGTTGGTGAAGGAAGCGCTTGGGTGCTTCCTCCTGGTTGCCTCTCCAGGAAGGACATGGAGCCCCCAGCTCTGGGCTGGGGCTGGGTCCCTATGTCGTTTCGGGACTTCACATTTCCAGAGGCTCCGTTGACTCCTCTGAAGAGGCCTGGGCTCTGATCCTGGCGCCCCTTCCTGCCCTTTGATTCTGGTTCTTTGAGGGAAGCCCCACTATGAGGTCCTGGGAAGGAAAGACATTCTCTGCCCGCAGGCGGGCCGGAACGGGAAGGCCAGGAAAACGGCCTTCGTTGCACGGATTCTATTTATTTATCTATATTAAAAATGATTTTCGTTAAAAAAAAAAAAAAAGGATGTTTCCCCACACCTCCAAGCCCAGACTGGCGCTTTGCACGACGACCGTCGACCGTCGGCGGCAGCCCGCTCCCCGACCGACCAGGCCGCCGGTGCGAAGCGCGGCTCTAGCCCGGCCCGGGCCTTGGCTCTCGCCTGCCCCGACACCGCCCAGCCGGCTGGCTGCCCCGGCTCCCCGACCTCGTCTCGCGGCCTCCCGGAGGGCGGGGAAGCCGGCGAGCTCAGCTCGTTTGGCGAAGGCCCCACCAGGCCCGCGGGTCGTTTGCGGCCAGACGGCCCCGAGGGCCGCGGGTGGGCGGCGACTCCTAGGAAGGGCGTGGAAGGCTGCGGGGCGCCTGGCCTCGCGCCGCGGCGGCGGCCGGAGCTCCGCCCCCGTCCCCGTATAAGTGGCGGCCCGGGCCCGGCCCGCGGCGGCGGCGGCGGCGGCGGCGGCGGTGCAGGCTCCCGAGTCGGTTCGGACGGCCTGTTGAGCCCCCTCCACCCGCTTCCATAAGGCTTTGCCTTTCCAACTTCAGCTACAGTGTTAGCTAAGTTTGGAAAGAAGACTAAAAGAAGACCCCCGGCCGTTTTCCTTTTTGTTTTTATCATAGTCGTCGTCGGAGGCTTTTTGCACAGAGCTGTTGTGTTTTCGGCGGTGCTTTCTTCAGTTTCTTGCACTCCTGTTGACAAACGCCTCAGCAGGAGCGGCAGGAACAGCAGAAGAACAAGCGGGGGGCGTCTGGTGCCATGACCAGGACAAGCCAGCAGAACCGTCAGGGAGGATGCTGTGGTGAGTTGAGCCCACGCATGGGGTCGGTTCGTTGGAGACCTGCAGCTCCACGCAGGTTTTGGAGGAATGTGGCTCGGCTCTTAACCAGCGTGCTTAGCAGCTCTTTTGACTCATGTGTTGGTGGAGGTTAAGGAGGAAAGGAATTTCAAGGTTTGGGAAAGGAGTTTGCACACAAACGAGGATGGAATCGACTGGACGGTTTGGATTGCCTTGTTAAAAATAGAATGGCGTTTAAGACTGTTGAAACAAGAGCATTCTTCACTGTATGTGAAGTTTTGCAGGTATTGACCAATAATAGGTCATGCTGAATTTTTCATCTACCCATCAGTTTCTAGGTGGCTCGATGAAATCTACATGGTTTGCCCCACAAAGCAGTTTTTAATAATTGTATTTAATAAGAGCAAATGAATGAGCATTCCAACCTCAGCTCACTCAAGGGACTAAACATGCTTTTTATCTCCCCACTGTGTATCTTTGCAGGCTCCTTAGCAAACTACCTGACCTCTGCAAAATTCCTTCTCTACCTTGGTCATTCTCTGTCTACTTGGGTAAGTGATCACCTACAGTAATTCTTACAACATACTTGCACAATTTCTTATTTCCTTTCATTTGGTCCGGTTGTATTAAGCCATCTTCCAGTTTTGTCATGCATCTGAAGAAATCAGTTGGACACACATGCTGTAAGTTGTTTTCACCAAAGATGTTTTCCCATAGGTGTTGGTGAATGCTATTTAATTGTTAGGTTATCATACTTTATGTAGACCAACAGCTATCTGAAGACAGGATTAAAAAAGGCAGGATTATCTTGTGTGTTGCCTTACAAGACTTAATAAATGGTAATATCTGCTACTAAGAATGGATGAATGTCTCATTGATATCACTTTGTTTTTACATATTTTAAAGTATTTCTCTATTTTCTTTTGTTAAGATAAGTTCCAGTATACCACACTATGAAAATACAGTAGAATAATGGCATGACTAACAGGCTAAAAATAGAAGTTCTAAGATTAATGTACATATAATGGACCCCAAGAACAAATATATGAGTGATGAAAATTCTGGTCTTTTCAAATGTTATCTGTAGCTAGATATGTGTGAGACATCTCTGTCTTAAAAGCCATCATCCAATGAAAATCAGCAGCTGATTGATAAGTCACCCTCTGACTTCTTATGTGGTTTTGGAAGAGTCCCAGTGTTTCTGTAGGCCTGGGTTCCTTCACCAACATCCCCCGACCCCAAAGAATAATCCCCAAAGGATGATAGATGTGTTTTTGATTATTAAATCATTTTGATGGATACAATCTTTTAAATTAAACAATTAGTCTTACTGTTTAAATCAATGAATCTGAGTATATTCTATTCATGTGTTATGTGTGATAGTTACAAAACCATAAGTTTCTGTTTTACAGAACTGTAAGTAAGGAGAAGGAATTTTGAGAGTAAATTTTGTGAATGTTATTTTCTTTTTAAATTGGAAACTTCTATTGGATCATCCTTAAGACGTGAATGCAAACTATAGTATGAGGAAATCCGTACCCCTGCCCTTGGGAAATTATTAAGCTAGGTTATCAGCTCTTTAAGAAAGAGCAGTTCAAAGATGGCTTTTTAGAAAGGCCAGCTTCTATCTCCCCAGAGGCTTAGACAGGGATGACTCTGCAAATACATGTAAACAAAGTAGACTTGGCCTGAGTTTCATTTCCGGTAACTGATGATTCTAAGTAGAAATCGAGTGAAACTGCCCTTAATTAATTTAAATCCAATTAAATTATTCTTCCAATTTAATTCAGTAGTATTGAGTATTTTTTTTTAAAGTGGTAAGTGATAGACGTAAGTGTCTGAAATGCTTTTCTTGTGATCTGGACCTATTTCTTAGGGGAAGAAGGTGCCTAACTTCCAAATACTGATTAAGTTTTAGGTTTTTATGACCATTCGTTAGTAGGTTGACAGGTCAGATTTGCCAAAAGAGTGGAACTGTAATTGTTCCAGGAGGATTTGTTTTTTGTCTTACAAAACACAAGAAAAATGACGGATGCTTACGCTAGTCTTAAAGATAATTGAGCAAAAGGAGTTCTTGTGGGAAACTTGGATTAAAACAAAACACAGCAATTATAGCCGGGTAAGGTTTAGTGGGTTTTCACTTCTTGGTGCAGAAGAGTGCAAAAAAAGGAATGCTCTCTAACGCTAGATAATTCTGCCTTTTGAGTATTGTCTCCTGTTTGACTCTTTGCCTGATTTTATTGCAACAAAATATATGTGCTTATTTATTATATATGCATGTGTATACAAATCTACCTATCCATTGCCCATGGTTTCCTGTATGCTGAGTATATAGGTGTTAGGGTAGAAGGTTATATTGAGTTAGATTTGTGTGAGGTTGAATGCTTTTTGTTTCTGACTTCATTTCTTTCTGCCAGTGGATCAATATATTTTACTCTGTGTTATCAGAATACAAAATATGGTAAGAAGTGAATCCTGTTTTCAAGAAACTTATGATATAATTTGGTATTGGTTTTAAACAAAGTATCTAATTGCAAAAAGATAACTAACAGTGTAAGGCAGTGAAAAAGGGTGGCCAGTGTTACTATCTTATGCATCATGCTATGGACTGGCTCCATTTACCTGCCAGATGTCTGCATGGCGCCAGCTGTTACTTCCTTGGATTTCTACTCATAGGTCTGCTTCATGCAAAATGCCACCTTCCTGCCCCACCCTACTTTCTTTTTCCACGTAGCATTTATACCACCTCGCCTACTCTGGGTTTGCTTTAGGTCTCTGTCCACTGGGATGCAAGCAGCATGAACATAGAGATCGTGATTTTTGTGTACTGCTGAATTTCTAGTGCCTGCAGTATGGTTGGGTACATAGTAGCCTCTCAAAAAGTATTCAGTGCAGTAATGACATTCATTTGGCCTTTGGCTCAGTGCCCTGGAAGTAGATGAACGTGTAAACAAACCCTCAAAGTATGATGAGAGCTTGTGGGAGGGCAGGAAATGGAGGTTAGGAAAGAATGGGTGGGTGGGCCTGAGACTGCGCTTGGTCAGTGTTTACAGAGACTTTACCTGATTCTTGCACTTTGTGAATGTTGAGCCTGTTACTTCTTAAAGCCTAAGCCTTTGGAAATCGGAGCAAGTAGAACAGTTTTATTCTTCTCCATCAGGGAGGTGGCGAGAGAGAAAACTTTTGTGGCACTTGTTTCAAAGTCCTGCTTTAAAAAAATCTAGACCGATTCTTTTGGAAAAAAATATAGGAGTAAAACAACAAAGAAAGAAAGAAGAACCTACTATATAGCGCAGGGAACTATATTCAATATCCTGTGATAAACCATAATGGAAAAAAATGTGAAAAAGAATGTGTAACTGAATCACTTTGCTGTACTACAGAAACTAACACAACATAGAAAGTCAACTGTTCTTCAATAGAATAAGTGTAAGAAAGGAAAGAAAGAAGCAATCAGAATAATACTTCTCATTCTTTATGATAGGAAAGAGGACATTCTCTCATGGAGGCAGGCTATCATTTGAGGCATTTATATGTTTTTGTCTTTTTAGAGGATTGAGATTAGGATAAAGCACCTCCGCTCTCCTCATCCCATTTTATTCTAATCAAATCTAAATTTACTTCTCATGTTAAAGGTTAAGAAAATAGGTTAATTTGTTACTCTTATTGACATTTTTATCTTAATATATAAATTGTCTTTTTATTGTTTTCAAACAAGCTGTATCATATATTTTTAGTCATTTAGTACAATGGTATTTGAAATGTTATTCCTACTTAAGCGGAAGACATTTTCTATTATCAAAGCAAACTTTAAAAAGCTGTATGAGAAATGTGAATTACGGTACTAATTAAACCTCAAACTTCTGGAACATTCATGTAACAGATCTAGTGTACCAGAACACTACAGTTGATAACTTAGTCTCACTCTGCACTCATTTACAGCCAGGAACCCTGTGCATCCACTTTGTTGATTGCACGGTTATTTGCTGTGTTTCTAGTCTGGGATTTTGCCCTGTGCTGAAGCCTATGCTAGAACTCACATTCCAGACCATCAAGTGAGAATCAGTCTTTCAAACATGCTCCTTTCACTAGTTTCCAGACGTTTATTGTCCTTATTCACCCCATCCCTCAAGGCCCTACTCTTATGTTAACTTTCAACTGTGGTTCTAAATACTGTTCACAACCCTCTACACCAAAGTTTCTGTACCTTGGCACTATTGACATCTTAGTCTGATTAATTCTTTGTTGTAGGGACTGTAGATGCCAGTAGTAAACCCACCCTCGCAGTTGTGACAACCCAAAATAGATCCAGATGTTGCTAAGTGATCCCTGGAGGATCACCCCCATTTGAGAAATTCTGGTCTACATGAAGCTTATTGTAAACGTTTGCTATAGTATGCACATCCATTTAACTTTGGATGCATCAGATTGTTGTCTTGGCTTTATTAAATGTTTAAAATCATATGACATAGCAGGATAATACATTGCTCCTTGTACACTAAATTTGTCAAGAGGATGTTAAGACGTTGGAAAGAACTAGGAGTGTAGTACTACTTCCAATCCGTAACTATGGAGGCTAGCCTGGGAATTTAGTTTCCTGTAGTGATTTCTCATAGGGATGGGTTATGATAGAACGTTATTGTCCTGGTTTAGGTTAACCTTACAAGTCAGGAATGGGGCCTAAAAGTTCAAAATAAAGTCTATTTTAGACTTCTTACATATTAATTTGGCTCAACTCATTTAAAAGTTTCTGTTACTCATTTTGCAGCAGTGAATTCCAGAATTTCCTATATACTCTGGAGAGAAGAAATAGGTTTTTTTTTTCCCCCTTTTAAAACTCATCTATGTCAAAATGTTAAAATTATTTATGTATTTATTTCTGACATCTTCATATGGTGCCAGAATTTGAACATATTAACTTCATCTTTTTGATTGTCCTGATGTTTTATGTTTTTGAAATTTATTTGTAAAGTAGAACATAGATTTTAGAATGTTATAGGTAAAAGAAACTTGAAAGGTAATGTAGTACATTCTTAGCATTTACAAATTGGGAAACTAGTTTTACTTGACATCCAAGGCATACTGATGTTTGTAAACTACAATATTGTAGTTTCATTCTGCTTCAGTAGCAAACTCCTTCATGCCTCTCACTCCCAGGCCTGTCTAGAAACCTGACAGAAAAAGGGAACAGGTTTTACCTCAAAAAATCCTTCTTGAACTTGGAAACTGTATGCTTTTCTGAAATGATAAGTATGTTTGTTCCATTAATATGCTTTTCCTCTCAGGTTTACTTAGTAATTGGGCAGGAATATTTTCCACTGTGCCAGGATGAACAGTTTTAACACCTGACCACATTCAATCCATAGAGGAACTGTTAACTTTGAAAATCTCCTGATGTAGCCGGAAAGTGCTCCTTTGTTAGGAAAGCAGCTTTTTGTGTATGATTGACTGGCAACTCGCATCCCCAAACTCTGTGAAAGCCTCTTCTCTCTCCTCCGACCCCAGGGGGACCGGATGTGGCATTTCGCGGTGTCTGTGTTCCTGGTGGAGCTCTATGGGAACAGCCTGCTCTTGACGGCGGTCTACGGGCTGGTGGTGGCAGGCTCTGTGCTGGTCCTGGGAGCCATCATCGGCGACTGGGTGGATAAGAATGCCAGACTGAAGGGTGAGTGGTGTCGTAGGAGTCTTTGTGCTCCTGGGACCAGGGCCTGCGCTGCAGAGAAACCCCTACGGCGAACCCTCTGCGGCCCCTCTCTGAGCGGTGGGGTGCTCAGTGACAGCACCCCTGCTTTCAGGGTCCTGGGACTCCTACAGAAAGATGGGATATCAGGATATTGAGTTTATAGATTTGGGGAGGTACCTTTTTTGGCTGTTCCTAAATTAGGAATGTTAATGGTTAACATCATAGCACTTTTCTGTGAGCCATGTTAAACATTAAAAGTTTTCTTAACTCTGGCATCTTTTTAACCAGGACTTGCTTTGGAGTTCATTTATCATTCTGCTTCAGTAGCAAACTCCTTCATGCCTCTCACTCCCAGGCCTGTCTAGAAACCTGACAAAAAAAGGGAACAGGTTTTACCTCAAAAAATCCTTCTTGAACTTGGAAACTGTATGCTTTTCTGAAATGATAAGTATGTTTGTTCCATTAATATGCTTTTCCTCTCAGGTTTACTTGGTAATTGGGCAGGAATATTTTCCACTGTGCCAGGATGAACAGTTTTAACACCTGACCACATTCAATCCATAGAGGAACTGTTAACTTTGAAAATCTCCTGATGTAGCCGGAAAGTGCTCCTTTGTTAGGAAAGCAGCTTTTTGTGTATGATTGACTGGCAACTCGCATCCCCAAACTCTGTGAAAGCCTCTTCTCTCTCCTCCGACCCCAGGGGGACCGGATGTGGCATTTCGCGGTGTCTGTGTTCCTGGTGGAGCTCTATGGGAACAGCCTGCTCTTGACGGCGGTCTACGGGCTGGTGGTGGCAGGCTCTGTGCTGGTCCTGGGAGCCATCATCGGCGACTGGGTGGATAAGAATGCCAGACTGAAGGGTGAGTGGTGTCGTAGGAGTCTTTGTGCTCCTGGGACCAGGGCCTGCGCTGCAGAGAAACCCCTACGGCGAACCCTCTGCGGCCCCTCTCTGAGCCGTGGGGTGCTCAGTGACAGCACCCCTGCTTTCAGGGTCCTGGGACTCCTACAGAAAGATGGGATATCAGGATATTGAGTTTACAGATTTGGGGAGGTACCTTTTTTGGCTGTTCCTAAATTAGGAATGTTAATGGTTAACATCATAGCACTTTTCTGTGAGCCATGTTAAACATTAAAAGTTTTCTTAACTCTGGCATCTTTTTAACCAGGACTTGCTTTGGAGTTCATTTAATACAATGTTCCTGGGACAGCTTTAACATCTGTCCTCTAGTGTACTGTGTTTCATATAGGTGGGTGTGTAGGGGAAGTGAAACCAATGGATTTAAAAAAGAGCATCTGATCACAGAATTGAATTATTAATTTTTTAAGAAAAAAGAAGAAATGGTAGTATACTGACATTAGTCTAGAGCATTAATACTGAAATCATTAAGTATTGTATAAGAAAAAGAGAACAGTTCAATTATTCAGAATATAAGAGCAATTTGGATAATAATTCAGGGCAGAATTTCCCAGAATTATTCAGTTGATAATGCTAAGACCTGGCCATGTCTGTTTTAGTCTTAGTCATTGGGAAAGATTGAGGTATCTGTTTCTTTCAATGCAGGATGATGGCCCCTGGTTAGAAAGCAACTGGATTATCAAATTCTAGGACTTGATGCTATTAGGAAAATGGCCAAGATGGACATTATTTTATTTTGAGAATCAATAGACCAAAGAACATATAAAAAAAGGTTTTGTATCCTAGAAAAAATTCCCAATTATTTACATCATTATACATAGGGGCATGGGAATGCTATATATAGAAACCTTTAATCTTATGATTGTTGAACAGTGAAATTGTAAGTTAGGAAAGAATGTTGAGTTGGATGAAGAGGAGTTCAGTGGGATAGCAATCTTGCACTTATTTGATATAATCAACTCGTGTCTGCCTCCATGAAGATCTTTGATGTCTCTAGGCTGAGTTAACTAGAGACACTGTTTTTTTCTGAAGTCCCATTAAAGCTTTGTTAATACCTCTGCTATTTCACTTATGCTCTTATAATTATCTGTTCACGTGTCTACCCTTCCTGTGGTCTGTGGGGTTCTGAAAGCCAAGAATCTCATTCAGTTGATATTTAAGCCTTGTACAATAAAAGAATGACTTATATGTTTGGATTTTATTTCATACTAATTTCAGAAAGCAGTTTGTTTTGTCTCGAGGCTTTAATATAGCCTTCCAAGCCAGAATGAGCTTTACTGTCCTTCAAGGCAAGAGTTATAATTATACCTTTCATATACAACCCTCTGTGTTTTTCAGAGTGCTTTCATGAGTATTTTATTTGAGCATCATAATGACCCCATAAAGTGAGGAAGGCTGATAGATGTGTATTATATCCTCACTTTATAGACACAGACACAAGGGTTTAAGTATGCTGCCCTAGATCATCTGCTGCAGCTAGTGGCAAAGCAAAGACTACAAGGTGTCCTTCCCTGGATCCTGACCTGTGCTTATGTCAGCTCTTGTCTACACGGATGCCTCACTCTCAGAAAGCTGGCATTTTCTCTGAGGAAAGATGTAGTGTAGAATTTCATAGCAAAGCAAATAGCTTTAGTGTTCTAAAAGGAACACACTGCTGCCTTATTCTTGGCAATTTTTTATATGTCTTTCCTACTCATCTGTACGATCTTATAAAATTCAGCCCACCATCTAGGAGGTCATGAATTCCATGACAAAGGGCTGAGACATGAATCTTGTTTATCTAATATAGTTCTGTTTATGACAGTATACTTTCAAGAAAATAAATGAAAATGCAGTCATTATGAATGGCTTTATCAGGGAAAATGAGAAGTACTTCTTTATTCTGTGCAAGTTCTACTGATCTGATGTGATATGCTGGGTCTTGCTAGAAATAGCTCAGGTAGGAATGTTTTTATTTCTTGTAATTTGCATATGCATTAATACAGTAAAACAGTGGTACACGGATGGGAGCAGCTCCATTGAAATACTTTGGTGTGTGAACACTGTTTCTCCCTCTGTATAGTGGCCCAGACTTCACTGGTTATCCAGAATGTTTCGGTCATCCTGTGTGGAGTCATCCTGATGATGGTTTTCCTACATAAGAACGAGCTTCTGACTATGTACCATGGATGGGTTCTTGTAAGTTCTCAACAAGATTCTTGATGGCAGAAAATTGATGTGTCTGTTAGTGATAAAAGAGGAAAATTCTCTGAGGCTCGGGAATGTCATTTTGCAAATAGGTTAATTTTAATCCCGTAGTTTCATTGAGTTAGACAAGGCTGTGATCCATGTTACTTTAATATCCCCTACCACTTTTGTTTTGTTTGTTTGTTTGTTTGCCCATAACAGGCATTCATTGTGTGTTGTTTGAATTTAAATTTTGTTCTATTAGTTTTTTTTCCTTTTGTGTTTCAATGGCAGTTCAAAGAGTTTATTACATAATCCAGTTGCTAGCTTTCAGGTCATTAGTATTAACCTAAAATTTGTTCACACCATATAAGAAATGTTAACCATGTATATAAATCAGTCATGATTGTGGTCCTCCAATAATAATTGGTATTTGTATTTGAGGACATGGAGTAGATAACTTCTCACACTTTAATTTCATGATAGCTTGATGGAAAAGAGCACAGAGATGGGTGTAGTGGAAAACAATAAATTTGGTGTCACTAGTAAATCTTCTTAGGTATATTTGAATTGATATTGTAGAGTTCCAAATCTAGATGGACAAGAAACCTTCTACTCTATTCCCTTCATTTTGTTGATGAAAAAGTGAGGCACAGTGATGATGTTAGCTTATTGCCTGTTGTCATGCAACTGGAAAATGTCAGAACTCTGATTTAAATGCAAGACCTTTCACTTCCCCTTCAGTTTCTTCCAAAGGACATATTTGTGGGAGGAATTAAAAACTACCCCGAGGTTAACACTCTGTGATAACTAGGTCATATAAACGTGCATATGACTATTTTGTATCATGTATACCACAGATGGGGCTTCCCAGGTAGCACAGTGGTAAAGAATCCACTTGCCAAAGCAGGAAACGCAGGAGATGTGGTTTGATCCCTGGGTTGGGAAGATCCCCTGGAGAAGGGAATGGCTACCCACTCCAGTGTTCTTGCCTGGAGAATTCCATGGACAGAGAAGCCTGGTGGACTACAGTCCATGGGTCACAAAGAGTCAGGCATGCCTGAGCACTCAACATGTTTTTATACCACAGAAGATACAGATTAGAAAGTTATTATGCCCTTTATCTTGACCACTGCCATCTTATTGTTTCATGTCTACAAGTAAGATGATTTTTTATAATTTATGAAATTAAAATAAAAATTTTATTATGCTACCGAAGACCAGTAGGTACAGTGTGGTAAAACTGACAGTTTAATGTTTTTCCTGTAATTCCTTAGACTTCATGCTATATCTTGATCATCACGATCGCAAATATTGCAAACTTGGCCAGTACTGCTACCGCAATCACAATCCAAAGGGATTGGATTGTTGTTGTTGCAGGAGAAGACAGAGGCAGATTAGCAGGTAATTTGCTTTTCTCTTTCTACCAAATGGTTTATATTAGTATTCACTTTAAATCAGTGGTAATAACTGAGGCTTAGCCTTTTTTTCTGAGTAATTTTAAGGAATACTAAATTGAAAGCATAATCTTTTTCTTATATCATCAATCTCAGCACAAAGATTTATCTCACTGTTAAGAAGCTAATTTATAGGCTAGTGACCTTCTCTTTTATTCTATGAAAACCTGGCAAAGATTTATCTCACTGTTAAGAAGCTAATTTATAGGCTAGTGACCTCTTTTATTCTATGAAAACCTGGCAAATAGAAGAATATTTCTTTTGAGCTTTTTCTTTCAAATACTTAAAACAGTGAATATCTGACATGAATTTTATCATCATACTATGGTTATTATTGTCAGTACTTATTGGTCGTATTGTGGATGTTATTTTTATCCAAACAAATAGAAACAAATATGTGGCTCAGCTGGTAAAGAACCCTCCTACCAATGCAGGAGATACAAGAGATGTGGGTTTGATTCCTGGTCAGGAATATCCCCTGCAGAAGGAAATGGCAGTCCGCTGCAGTATTCTTGCCCGGGAAACCACGTGGGCGGAGCCTGGCACATGGCAGCCCACGGGGTGGCAGAGTCGCACATGACTGAATACGCAGCACACACACACACACACACACACACGACTCTAGGATAGACTCTGGAAGCTAATTCCTTCAACTTTAAAGTTCTAATTGATAACTCTTACTACATTATGTATGATGCACTGTAACTGCTGTTATGAACACTAAAGAAGTATAGGATAGAATGTAGGTCTTCCAAAGCTTGCATTTTAGTTGTCCATTGGAAATGTACAAGAGGGCAAACAAAGGCTGAAGAATGCTTACAAAGCAATATATCCATTACATCAGTAATACTTGGGCTTAGAGTAACCTACCTTACTCAACATTCCCTACTCACCCCTTACTCCATACAGCACCCAGACACAGATGGATTGAAATTGCGCAGAGTAAAGGAGGAATGTACACTTACTTACTGATCAGGTCAGCTGAGTCAACTCTGGTATAGTCACTAAGATTAATGGGTATTACAAACTCATTGCCAGCTATCCTGACTGACAAGACCATTCCGGATCACTTTAGTGGCTTATCCCAGGACACAGAGGCAAGATTAAGTATACTGGGGTTAGCAAGCAACTTTGACTAGACACGTGGTTAAAAAAAAAAGACAGGAAGTTGAGAGAAAGGGAACAAAATCTGTGAAAGGTCTACATAAAGAAAAACAAGGATTTGCTTAAGTCATCACTTTGTGATAGCAGTAATAATACCACTTCAGATAGAGATACCACAGTGATTTTAGAGGTCAGTGAGTATGGAAGATGCATTTAGCACAGGAAAGCCTCTATTGCAGAAAATTCTCTCTGGAGCTAAAGTAGTGATTCTCAGTGATTTTTCTCCCTGTGATCATTTACCAACAGGAAATAACTCCATATCTCTTTTTGTCACATAGAATTAAAAGATAAGATTTTGTCCTTTTTTTGGTGTTTTCTGCTGTTATTTTCTTTCTCTTTTAGTGTGTTATTTTAAGGATGTTAATGTATGCCCATGTTTTGAAATTCAAAGGGTACAAAAGGATATATTTTAAAAATAGATCACATATATCTGTTGAAATGTATTTGGGGAAAAATTTAGCTTTTAAGATGATTTTCTTTCTCTTATCTGAATTTCTTAACTCATGCTGACTCTGTGAAGTCTAGAGAGTCTATAATTGGAGAAAAAAAAAAAGCCCCGAGTAAAGAGAAAGTTACTCAGAATTTTTAATTTGTGCTAAATATCTAAATAAATAAATAAGTAACAAAACAAAGATCCCATGTAATTTTCTGGGACCTTTCTGACTATAAAGTGAAATTCCAGGAAGGCAACAAAAATAGGACTGGCCACTTCTCAGCTGTCTTTCTTTCTTTGAGGAATTATTGCATAATGGAAGAATCCAGGCTAACCAGTCCATTTTCTAACCTTCTGGAGTTTCTGGAGTTTAAGAAAGGAAGTAAGCTGCCTGTTGAACTCTTGTCCACTGTGAATTAGTTTAGGAAGTGGTGCTGTTTCAAGTTCGGCCAGAAGTACAGGATAGAGCCTAAAGAAGGAAAACCTCCATGTTGATTTCCCTCAAGTTTTGACCTCCATATTTGTTTAACAACTAATTAAAAATGGTCCTTCAAAATAGGAACAGATAATTCTTCCATCCTGGGGGTCAGCGAGGCTCTCACCATGGATTTTTGGTACTATTCCTGCTATAAGGCAGAGGTACAGAACAGATGAGAAAAGAGGAGGGCAAAGGAGAAGCAGAAGAGAAGAGGGAAGGTGCGGCAGGAGGGGACCCCCGCTGCCCCCGCGGCACCTCTGGTTCTGTGTCTCTGTACACAGATACACACCTGTCCGGTCAGGAGTAATTTATGTTCATGCAGGCCGATTTTTGAGGTTGCTGGCAAAGACTGTTAAAACCAAGCAGGAGGCTGGGCAGGACCAGCTGAGCTCATGTGCATCACGCACACGTGTGTGTGTATGTGTGTGAAATGTATGTGATGGGGTAAGGGTGTGCCCATGAAGAGGGACGGTTGTCAGCTGGAAGCTAGTTGTTCCCAACCCCTCATCCCAATGTTTCTTGTTTTCAGAGTAGTTTATAAAATTGGAAGTTGTATCACTGAGGGTAAAGAACAAGAGAGATACTCCCTGGAAGGCTGAAAAGTTTTCTAATTTCAGTGGCATCAGGTCAAAATATAGTTGTTACCATCCAGTTTAGACAGCTCCAGGAAAGGTACTTTTTCCACATAAATACTGTTAATTAATCTGTCAACTAATTTGTCTAAGTACTTGATTTAGTGCCTTATTAAAGCCTTTTCTTGAATCATGACCCTTAGCCTATCAAATCTGTTTGAAACTTCCTTTCCCTGACTTTTTATTCCATCTGTTATTTTATTTCCTTCTTCATTTCCTTTGTTAATCGCTTTTTGTTCATAGTGTATGAGATTTTTCTTGTCCATCATTCTAGAGAAACATCTGCTGGTTGGCTTGATCAAGTAAGGTAGATACATTTCTTGTTTGAACCCCATTGACTGAAAATTGTCTTCATGTTTGAGGTAGACAAACCTGCTAGGTGCTATTTGCTCAGCAAATATGTTCTCTATTATTCTACAAGATATATACCCTTTATAACAGCAAGTGGTTACTGATGTCCGCTCTGTCACAGCTGCAGCTGAAAACACTTAATTGGAATTAAATGAGCACACATTTGTGTATTTGCGTAAGAATCAATACAAGCCTGTGAAAAAGAGTATGTTTGCACATTGAGAGGACCAGTTCTTCTCTAGTGTGTTACCAGTAAAACGGTTAGGTCTTTTTCAAAAATTATTTAATTAATTCTGCTTCAGAAAAATGAAATCTCTTTTCTGATACTACATTACATCTAAACATTATTAACTTCCTCAGATAGAAATTTCTAAATTTTGATAATAAAGAAAAGAAATTGGTGGCATTAGGAAGTTTCATGAGCTCTTGAAAAGGGAAGTAGTGAAAAAGTAACAAATCATTTTAATTACATTTCATTGTTGTTCTGAGGCATTCAGATTCAAGTGTATGTTTTCATTAATATTTGATTTTTGGATTCAAGTTACTGAGTTATTAGGAGCAATCCTACATTTCCATGTTAGGAGATTATTAGCAGAGGCAGATGGAAGTTAATGAGGCCTCTGCAAAATTGGTTATGTATAAGATCAATGAAAACTGCCTTTGCTTCTCAAGTGAAAGGTGAAATATGTCAAAGTTCTTCTGTTATCATGCAGGCATTCTGCATGCATGGGACTAATTGGAAGGCCGTTGAGGACCAGGAAGAATGAGAGAATAATGACGGTTTTCTGTTAATGTGCTTATTAGTCATATAATGCTTTTCCAAGGTGCCCCACGTGATTGATAAGGACTTTCTCAATTTTCACTCTACTCTGTGAGATAGAAAATGAGAACATAGGTTATTTTCTTGACTTCCTGTCCTTTATGCATCTTGTCTTCCACTCTAACTCAGCTGTATGTTCCCATGGTCACACCCAAAGACCTTCTTATCACTGCTAAACCCTCCCCTTCCCTAATCTCAGTCTTTGGCATCCAAGACTTGAACTATACCTCCTGCCTTATCAGCTCACTCCTCCTGGTTCCCCAGTCACAGCAATGCTCCAGCCTGGTTGGCACCTGCAAGGCATCAATTCCACTGCTCATGACCCCCTCTTGTCTCCTCTCTTTACCCAGTTTAAATTCCAAATTCAGTCATTCCAACCATATGAGTGCCTCCTAGTATACACCCTCAGTTCACTTGGCCTCTTCTCCTTTTGTTACTCCTTTCATAAGATCCTGCTTAAGTCCAACTCTCCATGGTAGCACATGGCTGGTGAAAAAAAGAAAAGCACAGTTTTGCTCACTGCTCTCACTTAAAATTCATGACCACTGGGTTCAAGCTGGCCCTGCCATGCTGCTGTATGATCATGCAGTTTTCTCTGGTCCCTTCTCCTCCCACTTTCCTAAAGGACTGCGTCTTACTTTTTCCTCGTACATTCAGTACCGCCTTGCCCATCCTCACTTTCTCTGATGACCTTGCCTTGTGTTCTACTGAGAAAATGGAAAAATGAGAACTTCCATGTGCTCCCGTCTTCATGTGCCTCTTCCCACTTGTACCTACAGCCATTTACGTGACCTACACTCGTGAACTGCTTGTGGTCCTATCTAGGAACAGCTCTGCCGCCTATGCAGGAGACTCAGATTCTATCCTTTCTCATCGACTGTATCATTCACATTAGCATATAAACGTGCTGTAACGCTGCTCATCTTAAAAATGCCCTTCTTTACCCCCTCTATCACTCCCATTTCTTTATTCTCCTTTTGAACAAAACTTAACAAAAAGAAATATCTGTGCTCACTCTTTCCAATTCCTTTGCTTGGTTGGGGCCTTGCTTTCCATAATACCGGGGCTGGTGGAGGGGGGTGCAACATTCACATTGTGAAGCTAGGCAGTGCCACTCACTTAGAATATAATAGAAATGGTGTCCCCTGGAGTTGGCACCAACCTCTTTAGTTCAGTTCAGTTGCTCTGTCATGTCCAACTCTTTGTGACCCCATGAATCGCAGCACGCCAGGCCTCCCTGTCCATCACCAACTCCCGGAGTCCACCCAAACCCATGTCCAATTAAAAATGCCCTTCTTTACCCCCTCTATCACTCCCATTTCTTTATTCTCCTTTTGAACAAAACTTAACAAAAAGAAATATCTGTGCTCACTCTTCCCAATTCCTTTGCTTGGTTGGGGCCTTGCTTTCCATAATACCTGGGCTGGTGGAGGGGGGTGCAACGTTCACATTGTGAAGCTAGGCAGTGCCACTCACTTAGAATATAATAGAAATGGTGTCCCCTGGAGTTGGCACCAACCTCTTCAGTTCAGTTGCTCCGTCATGTCCAACTCTTTGTGACCCCATGAATCGCAGCACACCAGGCCTCCCTGTCCATCACCAACTCCCGGAATCCACCCAAACCCATGTCCATCGAGTCGGTGATGCCATCCAACCATCTCGTCCTCTGTCGTCCCCTTCTCCTCCTGCCCCCAATCCTTCCCAGCATTAGGGTCTTTTCCAATGACCAGCCTCTTTAACCAGCTTCAATCAGGCATTTGCCTTTATTGCCTACCAGAATTATTCTTTCTAAGGTCCTCAGTACCTTCCATGTGACCTGAGCTGCTTCTCCATGCTCATCTTTCTTGACTTAACAGCATTGCTTGCCAATTGATCACTTCCCCCTCTTTGAAACATTGCTGTCTCTTGGTTTAGGACACCACACTCTCCTGGTTCTTCTCCTCTTTTGCTGGTTCCTCTTCATCTCCCTGACCTCTGAACAGTGGCATGCCTAGGACTCAGTCCGCAGACCTCATCAGTCTATACTCAAGTCACTTGGTCTCATCCAGTGTCTTTGATTTAAAAATCAAGCAGCTGGTGGTGACCCGCAGATCTGGTACCTGCTTCTTCCCTGGACTCCAGACCTGTATGTTTAATTGTCTGCTTGACAGAGCCTCTTGAATGTCAGTATACCTAGAGTAGTCAACATCTCTAGAACCAAATGCTTGTTCTTTTGTCCAGACCTGATTCGTTTGAAGTCTTCCCTTTCCTGGTAAGTGGAAACTCTATCCTTCTAATTGTTGCTCGGTATAAAAACTTTGGAGTCATCTGTAATTCCTCTCTTTCTCTCGCATACCATATCTAATCTGTTTTCAAGTCTTCCTGATTCCCCTTTAAATTATATCCAGTATCTGTTTCTCTGTTTCCATTGTTACTGTCTTGCTCCCCCGCACATCGTCTCCCACCTGTCTCCTTGGCTCCACTTCTGTCCACACCCCTGCCCCACCCATGCACACACACGCACACACACACTGCACACTGTTTTCTCATCACAGCAGCCAAAATGAACCTTTAAAAATACAAGTCCTGTGGTACCACCTCTCTGTTCATTAGCTTCGAAAGGTTTCCTGAGTCATTCGGCATAAAAACTGATTTCCAAGTAGTAGGCTAAGATCCTGCCCGATTGGGCCAGTCCCTCCCTCTCTGACCTCATCTCTTCTTATCCTCACCCTTCCTCATTCTGCTGCAGTCTTACTGTCCTCCTCGCTGTTCTTCTGGGCACGCTCCTCCCGTTCCAGGATTTTTGCACTTGCCTTGGCCTGGGATTGTCTTTTTCCCCAATACCCACAGGACTCACTCTTTTGCCTCCTGCTGCTTCGTGCCTTGCTGTGATGTTCTCTTTTTTTCCGTGAGTTCTTCCCGGACCTTGCCATATACAGAACTGAAGTTTCCGCCTTCCCCTGAGCTCTCTCTATGCCCTTTTTCTGTGTTATTTTTCACTCTAGTCTTTAATGAACCTCTGACTTGCTGTGTATTTATATGCTTGTTGATTGTCTTTGTTCTCCCATGCAAGTATAAACTTCATGAAGACGGGAAGGGTATTCATTTTTTGTCATAACCTAATTCATGATAAGCATTTAATAAGTGCCTGTTGAAATAAATGAATGTAGAGTTACTATTGAATTCATTTTTAAAAAGCTGATGTTAGACTAATTTATATAATCCTAGAGAATCAGATTTTTGAGGCAAGTTTAATGTGACTTGCTCCAAACAGCAATTGATTTTCTAACGAAATAGTTTGTTTGCAGAGTGCTTTTAGAAACTTACATCTTAGGAATCAATACTCTTGGTTTATGAGTTGTATTATCTAAGTGGGCAGTCTCTCTTTGATAGATTTGCACACTTCCCTGCCTTCTCCACCTCTCTCTGTAGATATGAATGCTACAATACGAAGGATTGACCAGTTAACCAACATCTTGGCCCCCATGGCTGTTGGCCAGATTATGACGTTTGGCTCTGCGGTCATTGGCTGTGGTTTCATTTCGGCGTGGAATTTGGTGTCCATGTGTGTGGAATACTTTCTGCTCTGGAAAGTTTACCAGAAAACCCCTGCTCTAGCTGTGAAGGCTCCTCCTAAAGAGGAAACTGAGTTGAAACGGCTGAATTTATACAAAGGTAAACTCAACAAAATGTTCAGTCCCTTTATTTTGATTTGCAGATCTTATATGTTGGTCGAGACCAAAATAATTCTGAATTTATGTCAGGTTTAGTTATTAATGATGGCCTGCATGAGGTTAACCATATCAACATGGTAATAAGTTAAAACCCAGTCTCTTGAGGATCTGTGGAACAAATCTAGGTTGAACCTCAAGGAGTTGGAATGGGGCCTCTGGCCCTTTTTTTTAACGTGAATAGCAGGCACAGAGGGGCAATTAATTGAGGGCTGGGCAAAGTTGAGCATAGTGATGGGAAGAGCACTGAGGGAAAGAGAAGAGAATTCCTAGAAGTCTGTAAAGTAGGGAGTTACATGCCCTTTGTAGGACAGTGGAAGAGAGGATATGAGGTGGACATTTTTCAAGAAGAGTAAAGGAAGTTGGGCTTCTGAGCAAATGGAATCTTAAATGGGCCCCCAAAATAAGGTTGTGTATTTTCTCAATTATTATATTTTATCTGATCAGTTTTCCTGCTGTTTACTTTGGTGGGATTATAGTTTCTGAGAGAGAGGGGGAATGGGGAGGGGAGAAGTATCAATAGTATTTTGTTTATAGCATAAATACTTGGAGTTTATTCCTTGGCGGAAATCCTTAGATGCGTAAAAGAAAATACATATTATGTTGTAGTAGCCGAGGGTGTCCGTGGGTGATGCCCTCCATGGGTGAGGGAGAGGGAAGAAGAAAATTACTGTGTAAGGTAGTTAGCTTTTTCCTCCATGTCCCCTCCTTCAAATAATAATGTCTTTTATTAACAGAATCTGAGCCAAAACCCCTGGAGGGAACTCATCTAATGGGTGAGAAAGACCCTGACATCCATGAACTTGAACATGAGCAAGAGCCAAGCTGTGCCTCGCAGATGGCTGAGCCCTTCCGCACCTTCCGAGATGGATGGGTATCCTATTACAACCAGTCTGTGTTTCTGGCGGGCATGGGTCTTGCTTTCCTCTATATGACTGTCCTGGGCTTTGACTGCATCACTACAGGGTACGCCTATACTCAGGGGCTGAGCGGGTCCGTCCTCAGTATTTTGATGGGCGCATCAGCCATAACTGGAATAATGGGAACTGTGGCTTTTACATGGCTGCGTCGGAGATGTGGCCTGGTTCGGACTGGCCTCATCTCAGGAATCGCACAGCTTTCCTGTTTGATCTTGTGTGTGATCTCCGTGTTCATGCCTGGAAGCCCCTTGGACTTGTCTGTTTCACCTTTTGAAGATATCCGTACTAGGTTCATTCAAACAGAACCACTTTCAATTACACCTACAAAAATATCTGAAATCATCTCTACAGCTGATGCACACATGTCAAACGGGTCTGTTCCTGCTAGTACTGTCCCAGAGATGAGTTCTGAATCCGTGCCTATAATCTCTGTCAGCCTGCTGTTTGCAGGCGTCATTGCTGCTAGAATCGGTAAGAAGTCTCCTTTTGTATGTTCATGAACTAAAGTGTATTTTTGCAATGGAGGTTCAGATAATTCAGCAGAAATTGGGCTAAAATATTCCCTGAATGTTAATTTAAGCAAAATCCACTCTATTCTTAGGTATAATCCAGTCATTTATTATGAAATTTTAACTTTATAGTTTAAAAGAACCTGTATTTTGTAGAAGGTGTATGTATATATACTTTCTTAAAACATGGTTAGGGCTTGAAGATTTTTACTGAGTGGATATCTTTCTCTTTTAATGTAATTTAGTTAATTTTAAAAAAGATATTATCAATAATGATTATAATTTTAGTAATTTAGAGCCTTTTTATTATTATAACTCTACCAAAAGGACTGTAATTTAGCAAATAGTTCAGTGCAATAAAGTTAAAAAAAAAGTGGGATTTAAATTAAAAAAAATAAGACAGAATAGAGAAAAATCCTTCGGAGGTCTTCTCTGGCTGATGTTTCTTTGTTGTATACTTTGCCAAACAAATGGTTTTTATAGCTCTGAAAGGAGGCATAATGTAAAAACCTCTTACAAAGGAAAGTTTAAGTAATCATTAATAGAGTACTGATGAATTATCTCTGTCTGAATTCGTTCTTGAAATGAAACCATATTTATCTTGTGATACAAAGCAGTTCATTAATTTATTAAGTATATTAATATTAAAGCAAGACAGCTTTATTGTAGGGGCTTTAGAACCGAAGCAGTAAATGTATTAATGACTTAAAGTTTCCTTACATTTTAAACCTAACAATATATTAGGTCCGTTCATTTTAAACTTTAAAAATACTAGTAATTATAATAGGATTTATTATGTCTCTGATTTCAGAGTTCTGCTTTCAGAGTATGAATAATCACAGAAAAGAATTGTTTCTTATGGCTATAAAAACAATTTCTTGAAACCAGTAATAGCACAGTATTTATTAACGAAAAATCTCTAAAATTCAGCTATGATAAATATACATATGGTGATTTTAAGGTAATAGTGTTAAGTATGTATTTTGTATAAGTCAACAGATATTTAATGTATAGTTCTGAAATGTATGGCTCTAAGTTAAAATTAAGTTTCTAAGAAATATCTTTTATTTTAGGTCTTTGGTCCTTTGATTTAACTGTGACACAGTTGCTGCAAGAAAATGTTGTTGAATCTGAAAGAGGCATTATAAATGGTGTACAGAACTCCATGAACTATCTTCTTGATCTTCTGCATTTCATCATGGTCATCCTGGCTCCGAATCCTGAAGCTTTCGGCTTGCTTGTGCTGATTTCAGTCTCCTTTGTGGCAATGGGCCACATCATGTATTTCCGGTTTGCCCAGAAAACTCTGGGCTCCCAGCTTTTTGCCTGTGGTCGTGATGATAAAGAAGTTACAGATGCAGATCAAGCTAATACTTCTGATGTGTAAGACAGTTCAGCTGTTGCCACCCCTAGATTATGTTACTAGATTATGTAGAGCACATGTGCGTATTTTGTTCTTCAGAATTCCAATAAATTGCTGGGTGTCTCTCTCTGGTTTTACCATAGCTATGCCTTGAGGGCCAAAAGCTAGTTAGGAAACAAGCCAGGAGAAATGAGCTGGTTAATTTCCCTTATATTTAAGGATAGGAAAAAAAAAATAGAGAAAGAGAACCTCAGTTTAAATACAGAGACTAGAATAGTAACACTGATTTTCCCTATTCCTCATAAGAGTGTAAAATTTTCCATAGAAGAGGGATTGGTCAGGTGAATTAAGTTATTTTTTGGCAGATATTTATTATCTGTACTAGAATTCAGATATGTCAGTTTGCCCTAACATTCTTGTTCAAGTCTAGTTAATTTACTTTTTAAAAAATCTTATTCTCAGTTATATTATAAAAACAAATTCTCTTCCAAGTTTGAAGATTAAAGTTTGATAACCAGTATTATCCCTGTTGGTCCTATTGCTGTTAAGGGATTGATATATATGTGGAGAAATGAAATACTTAACTAGAATTCTTGAATAGGGTTTACGGTTTAACTTTAGAGAGCACCTTTGTATTTTTCTTATCAGCTAGGGCAGAATATTGTATTAAGCATATGTAGCACTTCATAAAATGGTTATTGTGTAAGCTACAGGTAAAAGCAAAGCTATAGGGTAGATTTATAATACAGTGAAGGCATGAGGACTTCAAACGTGCCCACAGTTTGGCCATAGAAACTAGAAGTTAAAAGTCACACGAAGGTCAAGATCTGGACTTAACTCGTAGAACTATCCTTCATGATCTCTGTCTTGGAACATGAGGGAGTTGGCAAGTTAAATGTAGAAAGCAGGCCCAAATTTGGAAAGGTTTTGTTTTTATAAATCATTTGATTTACTTTTAACATGCTCGGTAGAACATTTTTACTTTTACTGTTTTGTACCCAGAAGTTATTTTTACCTAGTCGTAGAGCAAAACTGTTCATAAATGTATCCCTTTCAAACGTCTTTGAGAAAAATGGAGGGAAAAAAATCCTTTTTTATATATATTTTTTCAAAACTGTTTTGCAAGTCATTTTGCAGCATGCCAATACCAGCGGCATACTTTGCCTTAACTGTTCATGCACTTTCATGGAGACTGCAATACATACATTGCGCTGAGCACTTTCTTTTTTCTTGAGGTTTAATCTTTTTCTTCTTTCTACAGTATGATGTAATGATTTGCTATGTTGTAAAATCTTTGTAAAATATTTCTATATAAAAACATTTTAGAAAATCTTGACTTCTTTTTCCTGAGTTGCATTCCCTTGTTGTTTAATATTGCTTTTGTTAACAGAACATCTGTTTTAGATAGTATATAGTATATAGTATCTGTTTCTCTCTAAAGATCTATAATGTAATAATTCACAATTTTAAGTGTTATCTCCCTGCTCATATGTCTAGTTTATGGTGACTTGGATAACAGTATAGTAAACATGAGCCCCAGAACTCATTCTTTGACCTTGAAGAAATCACTTTAAACTCTCTTGAGTTCTATTTTCTCTTTTGTAAATTGGAAGTGTTATTATAAAACCAGCCGTACCTACATAACAGTTTTCCCTGACTGAGTCAAGTAAGGTACTTCTTGTAGAAGCACTTTGTGGACTATATGACAAGGTAGTATTAATAATATTATTAGAAGTCGGGTCTAACTAATAACAGAGTGTTAGATTCCTGTTGAGAGGCCAGAGAGAATAGAGTCACATTCTCTATTCAGCAAATGTTTACTAAACAACCAATCTGTGTCCCAGACTGATTGGTCTTGGAGATACAGATTTGACTCAAAACATGTTTGATCAGAGACTCCTTTTCTTTTCCCCCGAAAATTGGGAGCTTCAGGACTTCTGTCATCGCCCATAATTACAGAGCAGCTGCTGACTTCTCAGTAGATAGTAGATGCCTGTTAGGTCTGGCTGCTATCTTGAGCTGGTCATCTACTTTTTCCCGCAGGGGTCGAGCTAGGGTTGGAGGTCTGCCCTGAGTGTAGCTGTAATTGAAGGCCTGTGACCTTGTAGAATGAGTAAAACCATCTTAGCAAAGAAAGGTCTCATCTCTTAATGTGGGCATTTTGCCAGACTGTGGGTCTGGTGAGAGAGGCTCTGTGTGGGAGGAAGGAAGTGGAGTTAGTTAACGGAAGTGTTCATAGGTGCTGCCCTTATCTTTGCAGAGAGTTGCTCCGAGCAGAAGGGAAATGGAGGAAAAGCACTGCTGGACAAGGCAGCCTCTGCTGGGTACTGCCCCAGGCATACTAAGGCTGGGTGGATGATGCCTGTCAATCTGGGCATGTTTCTAAATAGGGAGACAAACTCAGATAGCTACAAGGTCAATAGGTAATACAAATGAGTGAAGTGAAAACAGTCTTACATTTAACATGTAATTGCATTTCTCAAAGTATCACTTATTTGTGCCCACTTAAAAACAAATTATTACCATTTTTTTTTCTTCTTAATTCTGGCTCTGTCAGTAAAGAATCTGCCAGCAATGCAGGAGACCCAGGATTGATCCCTGGGTCGGGAAGATCCCCCAAAGAATGAAACGGCAATTCATTCCAGTATTGTTGCCTGGGAAGTCCCACGGACAGAGGAGCCTGGTGGGCTACAGTCCATGGGGTCACAAGAGTTGAACACAATTTAGTGACTAAACCACATACCACCACAATTCCCACACAGGCTTCTTGTGGTTATTAAAATAGATTCTTTCCACATAGACATCCTTTGCATAGGAAAAACTATTTATTCCTAAAGAAATATGCCTATTCTCATTTTTTTTCTTGGGGCATCTGGCTTCCTTGATATTCCTTTCATTTCCTGCTCCCTGACCCACTTAAAGAAAGAAAAAGGTGTAAGTAAGAAATAACTTTCCTGTTCACCATAAGAAAAACCAAGAGGGGAGCTAAACCCCTGACCATGGTTTTGGGGAAGTCACAGGGTATGCGAACTGGCGAGCACATAACCAGGATAAAGGAACAGCTAAGCAACATGAAATGTGAGCTGCTCTAGTCATATCTTTCATCTTTCAAGAGAAGCTGGGATTCTGAAATTTTGTGTGACATATCCAAATCCTTCAGTTCTGGCAAGTAACTTGAAAATACTAAAAACATTTTTCTAGCCAAACCAAGTATATCCGTAGGCTACTAAGGAGTCACCCATGGGGTACCATTTTTTAAGTTTTTCTTTAAGAGGACAGTTTGTTTGCAAGAGAATGGTATTTGTAAAAGGTATAGATAATAGGAGGTATATATACAAAATTGGTGGAGTACAAAGAACAAGAATGAACTTGGCAAACATTAATGGTGAAAAACATTAATAAGAGATTAAGCATCCTTTGTTAGAGATCATTTAAGATCAAATAATCTATGCATTTGTTACCTGCCATATTGATGTCAGTGAGAATTCTGCCCACTGTCCCTTATTCCATGTGTTGTTTATACAGTTGTGTTAAAGGATAATGACAATTTAATTTAAAAATACTTTCAAAAGTTTGTCTTAAGTATAAACATAATATGCTCCTATTTTAAAAAAGAAAAAGCACAGGCTTTATTCGATTCCTCTCTTCCTACCCTGCTCCTCAAATCCCCAGTACCCACTGTGAATAGTTTAGTGTATACTTCCAGATAATTTTTTAATGAAAGTTTCAAAAATAACTTGTTATATTATTTGGTTTGTTCACCAAGATTATATCATTATCTGTCTGTTGCTTGATCAGTCAACCAATGTATATTTCCCCCCCCCAGATTCAGAGGGCTCTATTAAAGTCATGTTTGCATTAAGGATGTTGATACAGTAATTAAAAACTTTAAAAAGTGACATAGGTATACAAATTGCCAAGTTTAATTGTATTGTCATTGAGAAGTAGATTTAGTCTGATAGTCCTTTCAGCAAGACAAAAGACCACTGAGTTTTACCTTTTTCTCCTCAAATGACACTTACTTGAAACTCTTATTACATCAGTTAAGTATTGCTTTTCCATGTATAATGCCTCCCCTTTTCCCTCTTTATCCACCATTCAGAGTAATCTTTGCTATCAGAACATTTTTGTTTTACAAGATAGCAATTCAAGAATAGAGTTGAAATGTTAGAAGAGCCTTGTGACAACACACACACTTTTATTACAAACAAGTCTGAACTGGTTACATTTAGTCACACTTGGAAAACTAAACAAATTTTATCCCTTATATGGGTACTTGTTTACATTTTCCAAGTCCAAAAGAGAGCAGGTATTTTATCTAAAGAATGGACAAATGAGAGGTGCAAAGTTCAAGTACTTTTTTCCAGTTCTTCACCCTAAGCTCTATGTAAGTTATTACATATCTTCCAGTTTGAACATTTTCCTTATTGCATTTCACTAGGATAAAAGTGCATTGCAAACTTCTTGAAATAGTTACTTTCAAAATTGTCTTAGAAAGTGGTTGTCCTTAACTTATGTATTCAGTTGTAGCGATGATAATGCAAAAATAATTAAACAGGTTGAAGGTGCAAGAGGATAAATACATTTTATAGTAACTAAAACACTTCAGGAAAAATATATGTTTTGAAGAACTAATTTTCAAAGACCTCATGATAAATGATCCCTAATGAACAGGACATGGTCACATAGTAAATCATACATAAAGGAATATTTGAGCTTAATGCATATATATTCTCAAAAGAAAGGTTGTTCTATGATAGATTTATTTTTATTTAGTACTAAGTATTGACCAAATATATACATAATATATCTTTTCTATTCTAAGTTAAGTAAAAGACACTATGGTAGAAAGGAAATAATATTTAACATCTGTATTTGTCAGCATTTTATTCATTTAATCCTCACCATAACTCAGTGAAGAAGGTATTATTATCTGTGTTTTATAGATGAGGAAACTGAGTCTTAGGGTATCATGCACTTACATAGCAAGTAAGTGTAGAATAGAATCTAAAATCATTTCTGTCTCCAAAGGCTGTCTTCTTTCTTTCATAACACAACTCCAGCACGTTTTTTCTTTTTTCTAATGGGAAAGGTCAGAAAATCCTAAGGGGGTCTATTTATTTAAGGGAAACGTTTTAACTTACATAATGACGTGAGTGTAACTATGTTAACTGACTCATTGAACATGAGAATTTCTAATTGCTTTTCCAGACAGCTCAAGTTTTTCCGGTATTCATAACTGTCCCGTTTTAAATGTCTTCGTTGGTCCTTGTGCAGTGCTTACAATACTTTGGGACTTTCTTAATACCTATACGAGGTGGAATACAGAAATAGTGAGGAGTGGCAGAGAGATCTGGGCTCAGATTTTGGGCTTGCTGTTAGTAATTACTAGCTTCTGTGCTCTGGGAATGTTTTCAAACTTCCCTGAACTTCTGCTCTTCATTCACATAATGGGAATATTAATACCTAACATATGGGAGATTAGAACTCTTAGTAAAGTACCAAGTATATGCCCCAAAGTGTTTCTTAAATTCATATGAGGAATAATTAAGGATATTTTCTGTTTCAACATATTTATTGTTACATGAATTATTCTTATGCAAAGCATCATGTTGGAAGAACTATTTAGTTAAATATACCTGTCAATTTTTTTCTTCAAATGTGACATATTTTCTCTGATAGTAGGAGTCTACAAAGAGATTTGTTTAAAATAAAGAAACTGAATTGTTTACTTTCTGTTCTTTGGAAAACAGCTGAAATTTCTACTGAGAACCTCTATGGTAAAAAAGGAGGAAAATTTTCATCACTGTTTTTTACTTTTACTAAAGTATAGTTGATTTACAATATAGTATTAGTTTCGTGTGTGCAGGACAGTGATTCAAGATTTTTATAGATTGGACTTCGTTTGAAGCTGTCATTAAGTTGTTGGCTGTGTCCTCTTGTATGTTACATCCTTATATATTATTCATTTTATTCATATGGTTTGTACCTCTTTGAGCCTCTACTCTCATCTTGCCTCTCCCCTCATTTCTATTCCCGCTGGTAACCACTAGTTTCTTTCCTATATCTGTGAGTCTGTTTCTGTTTTGTTATATTTGTGTATTTATTTTACTTTTTAGATTCCACATAAAAGTGAGAGCAACAGTATTTGCCCTTCTCTGTCTGATTGCTTTCACTAAGCATAATACCCTCCAGGTCCATCCATGTTGTGACAAATGGCAAAATTCATTCTTTTTATGACTTCTATTCCATGGCATATACCACATCTTTATCCATGCATCTATTGATGGAACTTAAGTTGCTTCCTTATTGTGGTTGGCTATTTTAAATAATGCT